GAAGAAAGGCATATAACTTTCTTTTATGTAACATCAAGAATATCCCTTTTATTTATGCCTATTTAGGAAATGATTACAGTTTTAATTAAGAGTAGTTTGAAATTCCTCAGCTTTTCTTTTTTTTAATTTTTAAATTATTATTATTATTTTTAAAATTATACTTTAAGTTCTAGGGTACATGTGCACAACATGCAGGTTTGTTACATATATATACACGTGCCATGTTGGTGTGCTGCACTCATTAACTTGTCATTTACACTAGGTATTTCTCCTAATGCTGTCCCTCCCCTCTCCCCCAACCCCACGACAGGCCCCGGTATGCGATATTCCCCACGCTGTGTCCAAGTGTTCTCATTGTTCAATTCCCACCTATGAGTGAGAACATGCGGTGTTTGGTTTTCTGTCCTTGCGATAGTTTGCTCAGAATAAAGGCATATAACTTTCAATTATTTTACAATCAAGTCTTGTAGGCCTATTCTTTTTAGGATTATTTTTTCAATTGTGTTGCGTAGCTCTCAAAAGGCAGACTTATCTCTCTCCCTTTGTGGTTTTTGGTGCGCTTTTTGATGACATGGTCAAGAATTGATAAAAATAGCTACTTCACATTACCTGGCTGTTAGTAATTATTCAATAAATGTTAGTTCATTAATTTTATTTTCCCTTGCCATGAGTTTATCTTTGGCTATATCCCTACTGTACCCTCAAAGAAATAAAAGTCAAATTTTGTCTGCCATCTCATGATAGTCTTCCCACTGATGTCAGTTACTACTAAAACTGCCCATTTCTCTGCAGCTGCTACTACTCTGTCAGCCTAAGAGAAGAATCTCTGAAATTTTGACAGCATGTGGAAATATTCCCACTGATTATAGGATTATGAAGATGGAGAAGAGTATTTTAAAGGAGTTTTGTAGGAGCTGCAGGAGAGGATTCAGGTATATTTATATTCATAGTATATGTGTAATGCTTTGTTCCTGCTCCTTCATTACTTTTATTAAGAAGAGACAAGGAGAGAGACATGGATATGACTAAGGCACCAAAGGAAGGGCATTTTTTACATTTCAAAGTCACAGGTAAAAAACATTTATCATTTTCATGTGGAAACATTCTTCCAAGATGTAACTAATAATGGTCTCTCTCACTATTTCCTCCCACTTCTGCAGCTGCTAAAACACCTTTGCCACCAGCTCCGACACCCAAACCATGCCTTTGGATTTCTTCAGTTTGTAAATGGGAACATCTTCTTTTTAAAGCCTTTGTTGTATTAATTAATAATTAAGAATCCAGGGCCAAGCCCGGTGGCTCACGCCTGTAATCCCAGCACTCTGTGAGGCCAAGGTGGGCAAATCACCTGAGGTCGGGAGTTCGAGATCAGCCTGACCAACAAGGAGAAACCCCATATCAATTAAAAATACAAAATTAGACAGGCGTGGTGGAGTATGCCTGTAATCCCAGCTACTCAGGAGGCTGAGGCAGGAGAATCGCTTGAACCCGGGAGGTGGAGGTTGTGGTGAGCCAAGATTGTGCCATTGTATTCCAGCCTGGGTGACAAGAGCGAAACTCTGTCTCAAAAAACAAAAACAAAACAAAACAAGAAACAAATCAGTGGCTGGCATAGAGGCAAGAAACTCTATGAGCAGAAGATAACTATCTTATCAGCAGCAGCGTAAGCCTCCAAAAAGAAGCAAGATCTTTGAAAATGGCTGGGAGAGCTCCCAACTGAGTAGGCTTCAGCCTCCCACTGTCAATACTCAAGGTGCAAATGCCTCAGGCTGGGGGTGGATTACACTAGGCAAGGATACAGAGAACAGAATAATTAGGATGAAATCTGCCCAGTAGGAATCGACCAAACTAGTGATATGTGGCAAACAATGACTTCAGTGGAACCTAAGAAATAAGAATCAGCAGAGGAGCAGCCACTCACACCTACAGAAGTATGAAATTTTTCTTTATGCAAAGCCATTGGAGGATACTCTCTATGACGCATCATAAAATATTTTTTAATTTTAAGTCATGGTACTTTTTGTGTTTTGAAATACACATAACTCATTGTTTTATTTGATAAAACTTTCTGTTATTAGTACTGGGAATTTGGAAAGATAATATCAACCAAGTACACGATCCTGGAAGGAACATTCTGCCAAAGTAGCAATGGGGCATGTTTGGAAAACACTAATTTAAAATTATCTAGGTTATTTTATTTAGACCCCATTTTGATTAAAAGAGCACAGTCTTGGTAAAATCACTTAGCAACTCTGGATCTTGAGTCCCTCTCATTAGAATTATGGAACCATGCAAGAAAATCCAACTCAAGGATTCTATAACATTTTTCTTCCAGTGAATTTACTGATGAAATAAAGGGGTGTGATGGTAGGTTGGAAGAATGAGAGACCCATTTTGTTTTCAATCCTGAGAATAAGGTTGGTGGCACCAGTAACCCAAAAATGACTTACTCATTTAAAACTTCACTCATGTTGCTCCAGATCATGTTTAATGGATCCCTGAATGTCACAAAAAGCCAGAGCAGGTTGAATTTGAATCTACTTTTCCTTCAAAGTCAGTAAGAACTGTAATACAGAGTTCTCAAACAGGAATGGATTAATAGAATAATAAATTCACCAGGTAAATGACAAAGTGAAGCACAACTTCCTAAAACAAATATTTTTTTAGGACTGAGAATTATTCCAGTATTTATAATCACCAAACTTGCCCTGAAGAACAGCAATTGTGTCTATCCTATCACCTGAGATGACCCTAATCAAGGGGCATTTTTAGAAGAGTAAAATCTAAAGTCACAAAGCTTACTGCATGAGAAATTGAAAGAGAAGTGAAGAGAAAAAGGTATAGCAAAAACAGACCTGAGTTTCAACCTTCAGATTTTTGCTATTAGTAATATCCTGCAATGTTAATACAGTGGTTGGTTGGTTGTATTTTTTTACAGAAAGCATTCATCTACCTTATGTTATTTAATCCTCACAACAGTCCTGTAAGTTATATTAAGCAAGCACTAACTTGTAAAGGAGGAAACTGGCTTTCAGAAATGAAAATGGCTTGTGTAAATGATGGGGAAAGCCACAGTATAAAGACAGTATGCCCCTTTGCATCACATTAGTTCCAACTGCCACAGAGGTTTTAGGCTGACTTCTCATCTAGAGCAATGGTTCCCAACCTTTTTGGCACTTTTTTTTTTTTTTTTTTTTCCTGAGACGGAGTCTTGCTCTGTCGCCCAGGCTGTAGTGCAGTGGCGCGATCTCGGCTCACTGCAAGCTCCGCCTCCCGGGCCCACACCATTCTCCTGCCTCAGCCTCCTGAGTAGCTGGGACCACAGGTGCCCACCACCACACCCGGCTAATTTTTTGTAGTTTTAGTAGAGACGGGGTTTCACCGTGTTAGCCAGGATGGTCTTGATCTCCTGACCTTGTGATCCGCCCGCCTCAGCCTCCCAAAGTGCTGGGATTACAGGCGTGAGCCACCGCGCCCGGCCAAGGATTACTTTTGTGGAAGACGATTTTTCTACAATCTGGGGATGTGGCAGGGGGGATGGTTTGGGGATGATTCAAGTGCATTACATTTGATGTGTACTTTGTTTCTTTGTTTCTATTATTATTACTATTATTATTATTGTTTCTATTATTATTATATATATGTAATATATAATGAAATAATTATACAACTCACCGTAATATAGAATCAATGGGACCCCTGAGCTTATTTACCTGGGGGTAATGGGAGACAGTGAAAGATCATCAAGCATTAGATTTTCATAAGGAACACACAACCTAGATCCCTCACATGTGCAGTTCACAGTAGGGTTTGCCCTCCTATGAGACTCTAATGCCACCCCTGATCTGACAGGAGGTGGAGCTCAAGCGGTAATGTGAGCAATGGGGAGTGGCTATAAATACAGATGAAGCTTCACTGGATCACCTGCCACTCACCTCCTGCTGTGCAGCCTGGTTCCTAACAGCCATGGACTGGTACTGGTCCGTGGACCTGGGGTTGGGGTGTAAATGTGTGGCTCTGAACTTTTTTTCAGCAGATAAAAACACAGACGTAATAGTTGCAAGTGCAGTGTAAAAGGCCTAGAATCCTGTCTGTTGGACCTTCCTTCCAATCCCAAACATGTTCTTCCCAACTGGGCAACGCTTGAAGCTATTCATTTGATTACATATAAATGTAAAATTCTGTATTATAAACTCTGAAATGCTTATTTTATCTCCCTTCCCAATCCCGAGGCATTTCTTTTGATTCCAATGGGCAAGAAATTAGACACCTTCCCTTTCTCTTCCCAAAAGGCATTTGTTTACATTAGGGAGATAGGGTTTCTCTTTGTCTTTCTGGAGAGGAGGGGGAACTGTCCTGCTCCCATGTAGCCTTCAGGGTTTCAGTTTTTGAGGTTCCCTTCCCATGGTGAAAAAAAACCCCTTTGCCCATACAGGCCTGTCCCTCTATGGCAATGTGATGAGAAAGGGAAAGAACTGCAAAGCGGAACTGATTGCTTTAAGTAATAATAATCTGCCTTTGCCTAGAAATGAATACTAAGAACACAGATATTAAAAATGTGTTACAGATATCCTAGATAATGATGCAGATGCAGATATAGATATAAAAAATAGTAATGTATATTGTGATAATACCCTTTAGTCATAGTGTGTGAACATGTGAAACGTTTGGTTATTAAACTTTCCATCATGAGTATTTGAAAGTAGAATAGTGCATAGATAATAGCTCTACAACCGTGATGGTTCTTCAAAGGACTTGATCCACATATATGAGTTTTTGCACTGGAAGCCAAAGCTACTTGGTTGGGTCTATAGAGAGACGCCCTTACCACCCAAGATAGCCTTGACAATGGGCTTGGGCAGCTCCTTGGCGGGTGGTGGTGGTGGCCCCAGTGGTTCCTCCTGGCCCTGTCAATGTGGGCGCCAGGCCCGGGGAGGATGGCACCCTAGAACCCGGCCTTACTGGGGTAGGCGTGGGAGGGGACGGAGTGGGGACCGGCCATGTCGGAGGTGACTTGGAGTCTGCTGCAGCACTGGGGCGCCAGTTTTAGGAGAGGCGCGGACTTCGACTCTTGGGGCTAACTGGTGGAGGCGATAGATGGGATCAGATATTCACAAGACATCTACAAAAAGAGGCCCAAGCTCAACACAATAATTCTGAATTTACAGAAGAACAAAAGAAAACCATAGGCAAAATTGCAACATGCTTGGAATTGCAAAGTGCAGCTTTACAGTCCACACAGTCTCAAGAAGAATTTAAACCGGAGGACCCGAAGAAACTAGAAGCAATCCTAAAGAATATTCTTACATATAATAAAGAATTCCCATTTGATGTTCAGCCTGTCCCATTAAGAAGAATTTTGGCACCTGGTGAAGAAGAGAATTTGGAATTTGAAGAAGATGAAGAAGAGGGTGGTGCTGGAGCAGGGTCTCCTGATTCTTTCCCGCTAGAGTTCCCAAGGTTGCCAAGGTTGCCATTGGAACCAGGAATGACATTACTCACTATCAGAATTGAGAAAATTGGTTTGAAAGATGCTGGGCAGTGCATCGATCCCTATATTACAGTTAGTATAAAGGATCTGAATGGCATAGACTTAACTCCTATGCAAGATACTCCTGTGGCTTCAAGAAAAGAAGACACATACATTCATTTTAATGTGGACATTGAGCTCCAGAAACATGTTGAAAAATTAATCAAAGGTGCAGCTCTCTTCTTTGAACTCAAACACTACAAGCCTAAAAAAAGGTTCACCAGCACCAAGTGTTTTGCTTTCATGGAGATGGATGAAATTAAACCTGGGTCAATTGTAATAGAACTATACAAGAAACCCACTGACTTTAAAAGAAACAAATTGCAATTATTGACCAAGAAACTACTTTATTTTCATCTACATCAAACTTTGCACAAGGAATGATCCTGACATGATGAACCTGGAACTTCTGTGAATTTTACCACTCAGTAGAAACCATCATAGCTCTGTGTAGCGTATTCACCCTTTAACAGGCAGGAAGCAAGCCATACACAGACCAGTAGGCCAGAGGGAGTCCAGTGCAAAGCTGTACCACAGAATTCAAAGTCCAGCACATTACTGATGTATAGGACTCCTTTGGATACAGGTTTATTGTAGATTTTGAACATGTTTTTACTTTTCTATTAATTGTGCAATTAATAGTCTATTTTCTAATTTACCACTACTCCTACCCTGCTTCCTGGAGCAATACTGTTGTGGGTAGGACGTGCTCATCTTCAAACTTAATACAGCAATAAGCATGTGCTAGAGTTTACACATCTGTTCACTTTTGTTCCAATATGCTCTTTTGACTTAACTTCAAGCTTTGGGTTGATGTGGTTAAGGCTGTGTCAAACTGCTTTGAGAGGAATTGGACCAGTTCTGCTGCCTAAGAAGGTCTGTTTGGATGTTTATAGGCAGCTCCTCCGAAGTGGCCTAAATTCACCCTGATGTGATAGTTTTCCTGCTTAGAAAGTGGGCTTGGCCAGATCAGTATCCCATATGGGAGTGTTCCTTAGGTTGTAGCTCTGATTGTTTCCAGATGACCAGATTGTTTTTCTGAAAATGAGCATATTTTAGTCATGTTGATTAGCTGTTCTTCTACATCACATTGTTACTCTTTCTGACGATGATTCTAGGGTTAACATTGGAACCATCTCAAAATAATTACAAAGTTTTAGATGGGTTTACAATGTCTAAACAATGTAATCTAAAAATAACTGAGTCAGATGCTAACGAGATACTGCAGGCATAACTGCTGTTTTTCTGACAACTGATTGTGAAACCTTAAAACCTGCATACCTCTTCTTATAGTGAGGAGTATGCAAAATCCGGAAAGATACTCTATTTTTTTATATAGGTAGATAGGATCACCATTTATTTCCTATTTAGATATACTGACCTTCATCCATATGAAAATATGCAGGTCATTAGCTTACTATAATTTGACTATTTACTTTTGACTTAATGGGGCATAAATAAAACTTTCATAGTACACGTGAGGTGGATATTTGATACACAGAACATTTGTGGTGGGCTTTCTGTGGGTTAGATGTAAAGCCCACATATTTTAATATTCACTACTTTAAATGAGCAATGCATGAGGGGAATGCAGTGTCGGTACCTGGCTTATTTTTAAACTAGTGTAATCACCCTAGTCATACCATTCAGTGTGTTTGCTTTTTAAAATAAGTAACCACAATTAAGTAGTTTTAGCCCTTGCACTTCAAGAGATCTAGTCTTTACTTTCAGTTGTCTGTTAGGTCTATTCTGTTTACTAGACGGATGTTAATAAAAACTATGTGAGACTGAACGAATTCTCGGCCAAATTTAGTCTTGTCTCTCATCTTGATTGCATTAATTCCAAATTCTAAAATTATTCAATCCACAATAGCTCTAGGGGATGAAGAATTTGCCTTACTTTGTTCTTCACTCAGTTCCTAAGACTGCGAGTTGTCAAATCCCTAGACTGTAAGTTCTTCAAGGAGCAAGAAGTGCATTTTCTCCATGTCATGTAATTTTTCTGAGGTGCTTGGCAGCATTCTGTACCCTGTGGAGTACTCAGTACCTTTTGTTTGATGTTGCTGACAAGACCTAAAAAATAATCCCTTAAAAAAAAAACCATTGAAAGGGAGCAAAACCGATATATTATGTTTTTTCTCTTTTCTCATAAACCATAAGATGTGTATATCAAAGTGATAATTTATATGAAGCATCTGCTATCCTTTACATAAGTATGGTTTATATGAACTGCAAATACCTTTCATCAACATAAAAGAAGCTTAAATTGAAAAAAAAAGGAAAAATACTTAGGTTATCTACGATATTAAAATTGCCAATCATGTTTAGGCATGGGTCACTAAATTCTAAATTTTTCTTTTGCTTCTAATAAATATGGGCAGTGTCTACAAGCGTTATTGTTCCATCCTGACTTTTTGCACGAAGTCTTGACTTCTCTACTAAGGTATCAGGATATTCAAGATTTTTCTGGACAACACATTAAACTTCAGAGATCACAAGCTTGGTTAACACTGGCTTGGTATTTTATAGACCAACCAAAATTTAAAGTGCATCAACTCTTCCTAAGTACATGTGATGATAACATTGGAAACACGCACGCACTTCCTGATGATGGGATGTTGGGTTTCGTCTCTTGTGAATGACCTGCTCATGAACAACTTTGGGGAACAACATGAAAACATTTTGAATATTATGAAGAAACACTAGGAAGACAATATAAAATCTTTATAAGATTTTTTTTTCTTAACTTGAAGACAGCAGTTAGTAGAAAAAGAACACTTTAAGAACATTACCAAATAAATTGATAATTACAGAAAAGTACATTATGGACTATACTTCAGCAAGCCTCTCAAACCAAAAATCTGTTGACTAAAAATTATTGAAGATTTTGATTTGAAATTAATGTCATTTGAGATGTTTCATGCTAGTTAATATTTTTAAAAACTGAAATTATCTTGAGTTGAATTTAATTTTCCTTTGAAATTAAGTCATTAAGCTACATATAGTTTTATTAGTGACAGCTCATAAAGAATTTCATTCTTCTCATTCCAGAATGCATTTTATACATTGATTAAATTTAGTATACTTTTATTTTATTGTTTTGTTTAAATATAAAATATATTTAAATTATTTTGGTTTTCATTGTGTTTATTTTTACTGTTACTTTCCATTTATAATTGCTAATAATGGTTTCCCATTTATGATAGGGACATGTCATTTTTTTTCAAAGTATAATTAAATTAAATTTTGAAATAATTGCAATGTATCCCTGATTATGTTACCTGGCAGATTCTGTGGGCATTTAAATTTGGAACTCCTAATTTAAAGCATATGAAAGGAAAAGAAAAGTAATATTTCAGCACAAATAGACTATTCGTTTTGCTGCTCCTTTAGCCTAGAATTCCCTTTCTATTTGGCATAACTCAGTTCTGTCTTCAAGGACTATTTTAAGTAGAAATCTTTTTTTTTTTTTTTTTCTGAAGATACTTCCCCCAGGCACTAGAGAAAGAGTTAATTATCTATCCAATAATGCTTGGTTCTTTTCACCAATCTGGTACTTATCTCATAGTTTAGTTGTGTTTGAAGATGGCTGCTACTTACGCTGGGAGCCTTTTGGTACAGGGACTACCTTTCTTATGTACCTTTTTATCACCAGGGTATAACAGATGTTTAATAAGCCTTTGTTAATTTTGAAACCGTTAATGCATTTTTTTAAGCATTTGTAGTTTTACCGATGGCAAAAATACTGTTGGACAATGTTAGACATATATTTGAAATACATTAATCTTTGTAAGTCACACAAGTACAAATTAATTTAAAGATAAGAAATCAATTTTATTCAAGCCACTTCATGGCCCTCAAGACAATTTCAGGATCATTCTCACAAACCCCTCTAGGTTGTATATTCTTTTTTTCTTATGCCACATACTCTTTATGATTATTGTCCTTTATACTATTTTTGTTTTTTCTTTTCCTTCCCCGAGTCCTGCCAGTTGAGCATTGAGAAGAGCAGCTCTCTGTTGGCATTCAGGCTACCACTTGCTGAGCCCTAATTTAAACACTGCTTTGTTCTAAAATGGTTAACATAGCTCCCATTAGAATTAGACATTGAAGAGACTATTACCCAAAAATAGTAATGGTAGTTATCTCTGTATGATATTTTCCTATACTTTCATCTCTCTAGAAATATGGCCTAATGATCTATAATTCATTGCAATGTGTAGTGCTCACTTAGGCAAAATGTATGACTTCGAGTCTGATTTTGAAAAGTCATGTTCCTTTTGGACATTTTATTATAACTGGCCAAACAATTAACTTTCTGCAAAAACATCTCTGAAGGTAGATATAAACGCCATACATAAGTAGTTCTAATGCTTGAAAGCTGTTGGAAGACATGTTGTTGTATGAAAAGAAGTGTTTCTTTTCACTTTATTCTCAGTAATTTGAACAGTAAGCAAGCAGTTTGTCAACATTTAGACAGGCCAGTGGAGCTATCGGTAGTCACTGTGGGAGCACTTCACAAAAACTGGATTTGGCAATAATTAGGCAATTGTATGGGATGAGGCTGGGGCAAAGTCGGAGGATAAACAATAGTCCTCTGGCTAGAAATTAGAGACGTGTACTCGCTTAGGATTTGGGGAGGGGAATAAGACTAAAAGAAATTCTACATTTTAAACTTTAATGTCATTTAAAATACCCTTTTAAATCATGTTGAACTCCTGGATACTGGAAAAATATACTACACCTTTTCATTATTCTAAGACCAAGTTCAGTATAAATCATTTGTATTGTTTCAGTAAAAACTTAGGATCTTCAAATATTTTGTCAATAATAGTATGTGCAAGTCCTATATTTTCCCTTTTCAAACATTTCCATCAATTGCTTCATTTCTAAAATTTTTTTATTTTATATGACCTAAGTTATTAAGACAAAAGGAGGTATTTAAAAAAAAAACAGAATGTATGTACTTATTTGGATTTCCCTCAACATTTAAAAGAAAAAAAAATAGGTTCTATAGCTACCTGAATACTGTGCTCAGTTCAGTTTTTTTTTTTTTAAGGTGGATACATGGTCTTCAGAGCTTTTATATATTAAATTAGAGTTACACTAAATTAAAAGTTTTAAATAACCTATAAATTATTACTTCAATTGCAATCATTATCAAAGGTATATTTTTATTAAGTTGGTAAATTGTTTTGCATTTATTAATGTAGAATAAATTGAAACTAGCAATGGCATTAAAAGCAAAAATTATATATTTAACTATCCCATATCTTTATTTTCTAAATGTACAATGGCCTGAATTTTTTGGGAAAAAAAGGTACCATTTTCCCCCTCGATAAGTTAGCCATGATACACACACAAAAAAATGAGTATTATTAAGCTAATCAGAATCTATAAGACTTTCAAATATAAAATATTCTTATTTTACCAATTACTTTAAATTTTAATAATTACACAGAATATTTTTAAAGTTTTTCTTAGAGGTTGTCTTTCATTAAGAAACGTGCAAGCAGAGTAAATGTGAGATCAGTCATGTACAGCAATGCTAAAATAAATGTAAGATTTTTGAATGGATGACTGACTAATAACCACAAAACAATTTCTAAATATGATTATCTGCTAAAAAGGAACCAAATAGTCTTAAAGAAACAGCCGATCCAAAGTTGGGCAGAAAAAGTACAAGATTAACCTTGGCCAACTTGTGCCAAGAAATAAGGAAATTCTCAGGAATGATGGGGACC